TCAAGCTCCAACCTTCCCTCCCCATCATCACCACAACCATTTATACCATCACCATCATCACCGTAATCATCACCATAATTGTCACCATCATCACCACAACAATCATTACCATCAGTATCATCACCCCCCATCATCACCATAATCATCACCATCACCACCACCATGACCATCACCACCATGACCATCATCACCACCACCATAACCATCATCAAGCTCCAACCCTCCCCATCACCACCTTCATCATCATAATCACCACCATCACAATAACCATCAAGGAGCCTGTGTGTAGCTGAGCCCTGATGGAACCGGCCTGCCTGACCCGCAGGCCCATTCGCTGTTCCTGTCCCCCCACCACCCACACTCTTCTGCACACCCTCCTGCCCTGGGTGCCCGTCTCTCGGGCCTCACTCACATGTCTGCTGGGAAGTGACTCTCATAGACTCGCTGCACCAGGAGGAGCCAGGGTGTTGACCTTTTTCCTACATGTCAACAGTGACTTCCAATCAATCCGTGTTGCCTCGGCCTCTCGGTGTGGGGTCAGAATTCTCCCCTCTCCCGGCAGCCCCCAGATGTTCCCTGTCTTCGCTGCTCCAAAGCAAGGTAGACCCGTGTTCAGGCCGAGGGGCCGTTCCGGCCAGCCCTCATCAGCAATCCCAGAGGCCCTCAGGGATCCTGCTTCCCCTCGCCCGGCCCCAGCAGGGCATCTGGTCCCAAAGTCACTTCCAGCCCCAGAGATGCAATTCCCACCGTGGCCACCGGATGGCAGCGCGTCCGCACAGACCACATCCCCCTTACACAGTGGGTGTGGCACCAGCGCCCGCAGGTCTGTCCCGCTCAGAAAGCAGGTGCAGGAGCAGGACACTCGAGTGACCTGGTTCCACACCTCGACTCCAACAGTGCTGCCCAGCGCTGCGGGCCAGGCCTTCCTCTCCGGCCCCTCCACAGGGCTGTCCTCCTCCCTGCTGTCCACCCCAGACCAGCGTGTGCTCGCTGACCCCGAGACAATTTTCCCAGTTACTCAAGGTCTTTGGAGACGAGAGCACCTCATCTCTTGGCCGCTCCGTGCTCACAAAGCAAAGATTTTTGCAAAACTAGTGAAAACTGTTTGCAACATCAGAAATCTGGGTGATTTGTGAGGCGCACCTGGGCGTGTCCGTTTGGAAAAAAACCACTTTTTCTCTGGCGCAGTTGCCAGGGCTCTATTTCAATTTTCCAAAGTAACAAAAAAAGGCAGTTTTTCACCAGGAAAGAATACAATGAGTACAACAAGCACACAGGAGAACGTTTACTCTCCCTCATTGTAAAAGAAATGTACACTAGACATGAATTGGGATCATTTCCACCTATTATATCACCAAATCTTTTTAAAATGTTAAATACCCACGAGGGTGTGGGGGAGTGACCTTTTTCTAGTGAAAAATAATTTGGCGATATTTTGGAAGCCATAAATATGTCTACAACATTCCTGGGAACTTGGACTTAAAAATATTAAGGAATATTAATAAACCGTATGAACAAACATGCAGAACATGGAAGGAACGTTGCCCAGCGAGCATGGTAGTCGGGAATTTGGGCAATAACGTCACAAAACCAGGTTCAAATCCCGGCTTCACTAGCTCCTCGCCGGGAAATCTGGGGCAAAACCCATTCTCGCTAAACCTCAGTTCCCTTCAGGGCACAACGGGACTGACCAGCGTGCCCCTCCCGGGGGACTATGGGAAGGTTCAGGGGCATCCATCACAGCCCGAGCTTGGGCCTGGAAAGGTTAATTCTCGGTGAATGACAGCTACTCTTCTCTTTGGCAATGCTGTGGTAAAACACATGTAACAAAATCTACTATATTAACATATCCCGCGCGATTCACTGGCATTTAGCACATTTACAATGTTGTGCAACCGGCACCACCATTTCCAGAAAACTTTCCTCACCCCGACGAGGAACTCCATACCCATTAAGCAGTCACTTCCCATTAAAATAACAATTATGAAGATTGCAACACTGTAACCAAGTCCGTATTATATAATGCGGAAAAAAATGAGGTATAAAACTGCGATATCAGTAGTAAAAGAAGCATATAAAAAAGCCCGAAGGGGAATAGACAAAAATAGCAGCAGCTGTGATGTGTTTCTCAATCTCTCTTTACAAAATACAAAATCATTTCTTTATCGTGAAAAAGGGAGAGAGAAAAGAAACCAAAGACGACAAGGCACCCCTCCCCTCCACACACACACACACACACACACACACACACACACACACACACAAAACCCAGAAGCCGGAGCACGCAATCCAGGCCCTGGGACCGGGAACGCTTACATCATGTTCACATGCCCAAGAGTCAAACAGACATAGGAGCCAGGGGGTTAGGAGCTGACTCGTACCTACCATCGCCGCCCGGTGGTTCTGGAACTTTCCTTGTGTGCGGGACGCAGTAACCGGTCTTCCATCTGAACAGGCACCTTCGGCGCCGGCCTCCTCAAGGAGGCGCAGCTGCCCGTGATCGAGAACAAGGTGTGCAACCGCTACGAGTACCTGAACGGCAGGGTCAAGTCCACGGAGCTCTGTGCCGGGCTCTTGGCCGGGGGCGCCGACAGCTGCCAGGTAAGAGGGCAGAGATGGTCACTCCCTCGGTGGCCTGTCTTGGCCCCTTAGACCCTGTGGCCCCAAAGCTGCAACGTTGGGGAGGACCTGCCCCTGACAGGCCACGTGTGGGGTCTGAAGGTCGCCCAGCAGCCCTGCAGGCCTGGCCCCGATGTTGAGTCAGATCACCTAGGACAGTGGTTCTCAACCTGTGGGTCGCGACTCCTTTGGGAGTCAAATGACCCTTTCACAGGGGTCGTCTAAGACCATCGGAAAACACAGATATAATTACATATTGTTTTTGTGATGAATCACTGTGCTTTAATTACGTTCCATTTGTAACAATGAAAATATATCCTGCATATCAGATATTTATATGACGATTCATAACAGTAGCAACATGACAGTTATGAAGTAGCAACGAAAATAATTTTATGGTTGGGTCACAACACGAGGAACTGTATTAAAAGGTCGCGGCCTTAGGAAGGTTGAGAACCACTGACCTAGCGTGACTGACCGTGGGGACCTGAGCTCCAGCCGGGTGTAGGGAGTGTGAGGGACCGGCACTGCCCCAGCTCACACACCTTCCGGGATCCCATGGGCGGGACTCGGGGTGGCCATCCAGGCAGGAGACCGGGAGAGGGACAGCGGCCCCAGCTTCTCCTCGGCGGCTCCTGGGGTGACTCTGCACAAGAGAACCCCGAGGCAGGAGGGAGGCAGAAGGGAGGAGGACAGCCATCTGCTCCCCAGCAGACGGCACTCGGTGGGGTCTATTGAACAGACTCTGCCAGGCACAGCGATGCCCACACAGCAGGTTAGGACCTGCCTCTCTGGCTGCCAAGGGGTATTGAGATACCAAGAAAACTCCCACTTGGGAAAAGGAGGGTGACCCCCAAAATACAAGGCTGCCGGTGGGTCCTCACCGGGCTCCTCGCTCCCTCTGTGCAGGGCGACAGCGGCGGGCCGCTGGTCTGCTTCGAGAAGGACAAGTACATTTTACAAGGAGTGACTTCTTGGGGTCTCGGCTGTGCTCGCCCCAACAAGCCTGGCGTCTATGTCCGGGTCTCAAGGTTTGTCAAGTGGATCGAGGAGACCATGAGAAACAATTAGTGGGCTGGGAGGCGGGGGCGTGTGGCGGATGCAGGCGCCGGGACGTGGTAGGAGACCCGGCGGCCGGGAAGGCGCTGACGGTGATCACACGGAGACGCCGGGCTCAGCGCCCCACCGCCACCTCGGCTTGCTTCAGCGTCGCTGCGGAGAAGCTGGACTCTAACAACATCGCGGGGGCATTTGCTGAAAATAAACTCGGCACTTACTTGGATTTGGTGTTTTGGGTTTTCACTGTCTTCACGTTCTTTGTTCATCCCACCAATTTTATTTTATTTTATTTTTTAAAATATTTGTATTGATTTTAGAGAGGCAGGGAGAGGGATAGACAGAGAGAAACATCAATGAAGAGAATCACTGATGGGCTGCCTCCTGCATGACCCCTACTAGGGATCGAGCCTGCAACCCAGGCATGTGCCCTTGGCCGGAACTGAACCTGGGACCCTTCAGTCCGCAGGCCGACGCTCTATCCACTGAGCCAAACCGGTTAGGTCCATCCCACCAATTTTAAATAGCGTGACACTAACAGACAAGTGATCTCGCTCCCTCCCGTAAGGAAGAGTTCCATGTAGGACGGGAACCTGTGGGATCCTAGAGAAGTCCTCCTAAGTCTCCCGATTTTACCTTGTCGGCGAAAGACAGCTTGGCGCGCGTCTTCCACGTCTTTCTTTCTGGCCGGGAGATGCCCGTTTTCGAACTCTGTCCTTGGCGGTGAACTCTGCTACGAGAGCCCGACCAGGGACCCAGCTCTGGGCGCCGTGGGTAGAGGTGTGTGCTGTGAAGTTAACGGGCAGCGGAAGGAGACACAGACCAGCGAGGAGTCTGCATGTCCTGGGTCACCTGTGTGTTAGGGAGGTGCCCAGGCCAGTACCAGGAACAACGAGCATGTATGGAGGCGGCTCCCTGATTTCCATCACTGCCTGGCTCCCCGGGGGGCGCGCACGCGGTCACAGGGGAATAGCTTCAGGGGCCTCAGCTCAAAGGGAAGAGAAGGGGCAGCCCTGGCCCGTGTGGCTCTGTTGGCTGGAGCATCATCTCATACACGGAAAGGTTATGGGTTCGATTCCCGGTCAGGGCACATTCCTAGGTTTCAGGTTCAATTCCTGGTCAGGGCATGTGCAGAAGGCAACCAATCCATGTTCTCTCTCACGTTGATCTCTCTCTCTCTCTCCCTCTCTCCCTCTCTCTCTCTCTCCCCCTTTTCCTCCCTCTAAAATCAATAAGCATATCCTCAGGTGAGGACCAAAATAAATAAATAAATGAAAGAAAACAAAACAAGAGGAAGTGAAAGGTAAACATTGATTTTTCTTGACAATTTAAAATATTTTATTGTTATCAGAACCAAAGTATCAACTCAAAGTACAATTCAAAGGTGACAGTGCCCGTGAGCCACAGGCACCCCGCAGCAGGGAAATGCGAGAAGGCAGGCGAAGGGGTGAGTGCGCTGGCGTCCCGGGAGACGGACATTCCAGCCGCTCTGAGGGGCTCTCGGGCTCAGGGAGCTTCTGGTGCGATCAGCACACCCGCACACACCTGCACACACCCGCACTCTGCCCGGTGCACAGAGGCGCCGTCTTCCCTTCCCTCTGGTGCCACGCGCCTGCCCACACAGAGAACTCGTCAAAAAGTCCTGCAGAAAGGCAGACGCTGGCTCAGAAAACGCACCAGATGAGCATGTAAAGCAGGGCAGGAAAAGCTGGCAGGTTTGTATTCAACTCGTTCGAAAAGTCGCGGTAACAAAAGAGAAAGACCCAATCCCTGTCAGGAGCTCTAAAGTGCTCATCCGTCCTTGCAAATTCTTCTGAGCACAGAGATCGCTGGCCAGTCCTTTCCGTTAAAATGTGGCCTACTTCCCAAAACAAGTGCAACATGTCCAGACAGAACGAGAACTGTCCACGTGTCTCACTCCTGACCGTGGGCGCCGCCGCAGACCTGAACTCACAGATATATGAATAGCCCTTGTGGTTCAACCTTACGACCCAGGACACCCTAACCCACGGGCCTGGTTCAGTAACGGACACAGGCTCTAGTGTCGAGTCATCGCAGGACCAGTCAGATGTCATAGGAAATAGACGGGTCCCCAGGCCTCACAGATTCGTGCTGATCTGTGGGGCGAGGCCCGAGCAACCCCAGTGGGGCTCGCAGATCCAGGCGAGGAGAGAAAGCGCAGGCTCCGTCCGGATGTCCAGTGTCTTCATTGCAGACTCCCCGGATCGTCATCCTCCCAGGAATCCTCAGGACACACGTTCCTGAGCCTCGGTTCCTGATGACCCGAGTTCTGTCCATGTTTCCCAGGTCCCTGGTTGCTCACCCCGTTCCCGATGGAGCCGCTGTGAACACTGGGTGGGGCTTCTTGTCCCTGTCACCCACGGGTCGGAGACGTGTCCAGCATCAGGACAAACCTCCTCCAGCATCTCGGAACGATGCTCAGGGTCATGTGCATGTCTTTGTAAAGAGTGAAAAGTAGCTGGGTGGCCTGGCACAACGGGCTGACACGGGCTGACACGGGCACCGATGTCTGCGGGGCTCGTCGCTCCGGCCTCGGCCTGCGCCGCTCCGTGGTCCCGGCAGGCGCCTCACAGGGGAGCACCGGGAACCGGGGCCTTCTGCTTCCTGCCGCACTTGTAGGAGGGCGGGCTGACAAACAAAGGAGAGAAGAGAGAGGCCTTACCAAAGGCTGAACGGCCAGCAGCAGGAAGCCTGCTGGGACTCACTCAGCATCCTGGCTGGTTTCACACACACACACACACACACACACACACACACACACACACACGGCTTCTCCTGAACACCCGGCTCAGAGCAACGGTGGCCCCTCTGCAGGCCCCGTCCCGCCTGCCTCCAGACCCTCAAACGGCACGTGCATCCTTCATGCATGTCCACGAGTGACGTGTGGTTTGGGAAGGAGCTGATATGTGAGCAAAAGAGCAGCATGAATGGCCTGAGGCTTCCCTCCTGTTCGAAGGGAAACGCCATCAGGTTTCAGTAAGTCGGTGCAAAGCGGCTGTTTTCCAGGGTAAACAGCTGTGGGACGCAGTGACAGTGCCTTCCTTATGAAACTGCAAGTCACACTTTGACGACATTTTTTTCAAGGGGAGAGACAAGGCATCCTATCTAATAAAGGGGAATATGCTAATTGACCCTCACACCATCACAAAGATGGGGGCACCCACAGCCAATAAGGAGGGAACATGCTAATTGACTGCCCCGCCCTCAAAGATGGCGGTGCCCAGTCCCCTCAGCCCCGCTGAGGCGGCAGGCACGTGGCAAGGCTGGGCCCACCCCCAGGGGGGCCTGGCTGCTCCGTGTGCCTGCCTCCAGAGACCCCCAGTCCCCTTAGCCCCGCAGCCGCCCAGGGCCAGCCTGAGGCTCAGGTAACCAGGGCCAGCCGAGGCTTGTGCTGCCGGCAGTGGCAGCAGCAGAGGTGTGATGGGGCGTCGCCTTCCCTGATCAACGGTCGCCTCCCGCCTCGAGGGCTCTCAGACTGTGAGAGGGGGCAGGCCAGGCTGGGGGACCCCCCTCCAGTGCATGAATTTCCATGCACCGGGCCTCTAGTAATTAATAATTTATCAAAATTTTTGTTATGAAAAGTTCCAAACATAGAAACAATGTGTGAGTTGAATTCCTGTTGCTCCACTTCTTCCCGTTCCTCTAGTGCTTGGAGGCTCATTTTCCCGGCACCCCACCCTGATGCCCTGTGCTCCCCAGAACCCCGCTTCTCCCGCTGGCTTCACGCTGAGGTAAGGACTAACTGGGAGGCGAGTCCTGGCCCCAAATGCCTGCATCCTCTGCTTTACCCTGAGGAGTTTGAGAATCTGACCTCTGATGGGTGAGTCTTGAGGTCAGGAAATCGCCTACCAAGTTAGTCATTAGAGTGAAACCACTGGGAGAGGTGGAACTTCGGGGAGCAGAGGGCATGGGATGGGGTGCAGGGAAAATTAGCATGCAAACACTATAGGAACAGGAAGAACTGGAGCAGAAAAAGGAGCAGAATCAACCAGAAGAATACTGTGCCTTCGGATCATTGGCACCGAGGGGTCATGGGGGAGGAACCGCACCCAGACTGGGTGGGGGTCCAGGAGCCCCCACATGCAGCCCATGCCGCCAGCACTAACTGCTGCCTCTGACCCTAGGATCCGTCTGGGGTGCTCTCCTGGGTACCCCAGCCCAGCAGCCCTTCAGGCACATCAGCTCACGAGAGCTACCCCTCACGTCTGAGCTTCTCACTGTAAAGACGGTCCTAGCTCCATCCCCACCGTGTCCCCTGCTTCATGGAAGCTTCCTGAATATTCTCCTTCCCCCCAATATGCTAGCACTGCTGTGACTGGGGGACAGGACTCGGCACCCACAACCCTGACCTGGCCCCGTACCCCGGTGGGAACCAAGAAATGGTCCGTGATGACTGAATTAGCAGAACTGTGTTTCTACTTCCTGTTGAAGCAAGACCTTCCCATGCATGTGTGACGCTCCGGAGGGCTTCCCACGGTTTTCACACCTTTTAAGTTTCTCTTCCTAATTTTCGTTTACGACATGGCAGGGCTTGAGGGGACTCTGCCCCCGCCCCCAAACTCCACCCTGTAGCATCATCCCAGGTGACGTGCAAGCAGAGCGGTGGAATAAGCCAGTGCCCGTCACTCCCAGACAAGCGTAAGCCTCTGTTTGGGCTACTTCAGGGGACAAGCGCGACAGCCCTCTGATCGGGCAGTCCCGTCGACAGCCCCGCGGACAGGGCTGGGGCCGCAGTTCGGGAAGCCTTTCTTAGGCTCTGGGAAGCTCGGGCAATCTGAGTTTTCAAAACGGCATCCAGAAACAGGACGAAAGCCCGCTGGCGGAGCTCAGTGGTTAAGCGTCGGCCTATGAACCAGGAGGTCACAGTTAGATTCCTGGTCGGGGCACAGCCCAGGGTGCGGGCTTGATCTCCAGTAGGAGGTGAGCAGGAGGCAGGTGACCAATGATTCTCTCTCATCATTGATGTTTCTCTCTCTTTCCTTCTCCCTTCCTCTCTGAAATCAATAAAAATATATTTTTTTAAAAAAGAAGAAGAAACAGGACAATGAAATCACCGCATACATTTCCCGGGTCTAGTGACGTTCTCATGAGACACGGAGCAGCAGGTGTCTACCTCGGGGGAGGGGGGAGACCTCATTAAAAGAGAGTGTAAAGGGATACATTCCAGTTCTACCGTGGGGACCCCCGCTATTTAAAATTCATAATGAAGGAGGATACAGCACGAAATAATAAACCTGCACAGAACAGCGGGCGCCCCTGAGCCAAGGAGGGCACGACCCAGTCCCGGCCCGCAGAACCCGCTCTGAGCATCGACTGACTGCCTTGTCCACAGGGAAGTGAGGGTGGTTTTGCCCTAATCATTGGGTTTTAAATAAAATGATCACATCGGCACCTAAAAATGGGCACCTACTCTCTTCCCAACGTACAAGTGAAAAAAACTCCCACGAGGTGACTATCATTTCAGTGTTTTGTTAAATATTTTTGATACATTTGTTTAAAATTAAGAGACCCAAACCCTTAATTTCCAGGTCATTCTTTAGAAGAAGACTGATTTTTATTTTTAAAAATAGCTGCTAAGTTACCTTTAAAAATTACACAAATAATACAAGACAACGCGTTGTAATTTATTGTTTTTAATCCAACAATAGGGAAGTCTATAGAGTATAAGAGGAATGTCTTCCCTCCTGCATCCCTCTTCCCAGCCCGTCTCTGTCTCCACGGGGTATATAATATTATTTTAGATGTTTTCCTACACTCTGTCATAGTCATAACCTCCCTTCCTTTTTATTCTGAAAGATTTCAAATGGAGAAAGTTAAATTTGTGTAATGCAGTGGTTCTCAACCTTCCTAATGCCGCGACCCTTTAATATAGTTCCTCATGTTGTGGTGACCCCCAACCATAAAATTATTTTCGTTGCTACTTCATAACTGTAATTTTGCTACTGTTATGAATTGTAATGTAAATATCTGATATGCAGGATGTATGTAGGTGACCCCTGAGAAAGGGTCATTCGACCCCCAAAGGGGTCGCGACCCACAGGTTGAGAACCGCTGGTAATGTGAATTTTTGTTAGTATAACACAAATATATTTCACATTGATAGATGGGGTGGATAATTACTTTCCCTGTACACCATTTAGACGTACTTCTCCAAAGCTAAATTGTTCTCTCTCATTCCCTTATTTATTTTTTAAAATTTTTATTTGTCAACCACACTTTACATTCAATGTTATTTCGTATTAGTTTTAGATGTTCAGCATAATGGTTAGATAACCATATACCGATATTTCTAGTGTTTCCCCTGATATTTCTAGTACCCCTACTTCTATCTGTCCACCTGTCTTTATCATCAATCATCTATCTGTCTATCTATTATCTATTATCTACCTATCGATCATCTATCTATCACCTATCTACCTATCAATGATCTATCTACCTACCTACCTATCTATCTATCTATCTATCTACCTACCTTCATCTCTATCATCTAGCTTCCCACCACGCTACAGATAGAAATTTCTATTGGTTTTATCTTTAATAAACACTCTAACACATTGTTTGGTGACTTTTCATTTTGTAGTCAGTCTTGAAAATCTCCCCAAGCCATTGCATGTAGATCTACCGTAATCCTTTTAATCTCTGTCTAGTAACCCATACTGTGAAGATATTATTTTTATAGCCATTTGTCTACTGTTGCACAGTTTCGTTATTTCTACTTTGTCAAATCATCACTCCCTCTCCTTAGATTGCTTCTGAATTTTAACACCTTCCTTGGAAATATCTCCCTCTTCATAGCCACCTTTTAAAAAGAATAAATATTCTTCCAAAGCTTGGGTTGTTTGTTGCTGTTTTTTACATTTACCTTTGACAACTACCTCTCACTTCTGCTTAGGCTGTGAGGCAGGGATTATGTTATTTCCCCCGGGTACTCAGTTGTCTCAGTACCTCCTTCCCCTGGTGGCCTGAACGCCGCTGGGACTGAGGAGGCGCTGAAGGCCATACGATACCTGCCCAGCTTCTCGACATCGTCCACCGTCTCCGGCAAGGCGATGCCCTTGGTCTCAGGCAGAAGCATCACGAGGCCACCGCACACGGAGGCCAGGACACCTGTGGGCAGGGAAAGGCGTCACCACCAGGTCGCACGCCGCCCCGCGCCCCTCGGCGAGGCCACCAGGAAGCAGCGAGCTCACCGCCTCGCTGGCCCCGGCTGCGGCCCCCGGTGACCCTCACCAGCTCTGCCATGATTTCCTTACCCCCGCCCTGTGCAGTGCCTGCGCCCCTGCTCTTGGTGGGCATCCTTCACTCACCCCTGACCAGTTACTTATTGAGCACCTACTAAGTGCCAAGGCCTCAGAGAAGCCTCATCTGCTCCTTCCGGGGAAAACAGAAGCCAACAGAGAGGAGTCCCTCAGGCCCTGTTCCCGGCACCAGAGCGTCACGGCTTCCTGTCCCCGCCTTCCTCCTCCCGCCAGGGGCCACTGCAGGCCTGTCCCCTCGCCCCAGGCCCGCCTCCTGGCGTCTTTCCCCGGCTCCTCACTGTACTGGTCAATCCTCCCCCAGCACCTTGCGCCCAGTGGCAGCAGCAGGAAACATACTCAAATCTTTCCTCGTTCAGGATCCTCCTGACAACCTCACATTACCCCATGTACCAGCCTCCCTTGCCCGGATCTTCAGAGTTGAAGTTTCCGAAACACTATCCTCTCCTATTTTCTGCACATCTTATCCTCGCGGGGAGCTGACGAATGCCTGCCAACCGGCTCCCCAGAAAACAAAGCCCTGATTTATAGCGGCTGCCAATTTCCGCGGCGTAAATACTCCCCCACGGACAGTGCGCACTACCGATGCCACCTCGCTGAATGAGGCACGCGGACGAGGCGTGCAGTAGCACACGGCTCTATAGGTTTCTACCACAAAAAGACAAAAACACAAAAAGCCTCAGGAACGCAGAGAATGCAGCAAACGCAAATGAGTTGGGAGCCGATGACGTGCATTTGTTGCCTGTCCTTTTGTATATTGCAGACACTGCCATTATTAATCCTGCCTGTGTTTGACAGCTGGCTCTCCCTGCGAAGGCACGGCCTGCGCTCCAGCGCCAGTGCCCAGCTCCCCCAGCGCCCCCTGCAGGCCAGGCCACTGCCCGGATGCTGGGCTCCGAGACCACTCATCTTGGTTGAACCACGGCCCTCTCTTTGCTCTTCCGTGCTGGCTACAGCCTCGACTGAGCTCGAGGACCAGATCCCATGGAATATTGGAAACGTTCCTCTCCTGATTTCACTGGCATCAAGTGGTTAGAGGCTGACTCCACAGTCCCTGACGCTGCTGGGGGTTCCTTTACTCAGCATGTGTCCACAGGGACCCAGCCTTTTCAGGGTAATTGAAACTGTTGGGGCAAAGGAAGGGGAGGTGGGGGAGAGCTGGACGAGGGTCCTCTCTTGCTGGGGGCGGGGGGGAAGAGGCCCCAGAGAAGAGGTGGAACAGCACTGGAGAAGCCCTGGGGTGAATGACCCCAGGTCCCCCCCAGTCTGATTCTGTCCCCTCAGGGTTCTACGGAGATGGGGGGCAGGAAGGAGGCCGTGATCTTGGGGGCCATCAGAGAGGGTATGCTAGATGCGCAAGGGACCTGGGTCCTCCGCTCTTTCAGCATCGCATGCTCAGCATCCGAGCAGATGAAGTCCGATAGTGACAGGTACAGAACCTTTAATAATGTAATTGGTTTGGGGCGTCTTTGAAACAGACCGTGGGTCCAATTTGGTCTCATGAAAATGATTGGTCTTTAGTTATTCCCAAGACCATAAAGGAGTTTTACTGAATTTGATTTTAACTCAGAACCTAAACAAAGAAAGGGCTGCAGATGGGCTCCCCAAACCGCAACGCTCGGTCGTCCTGAAAATGTCAAGTGCCCGTCATTGCAGACAGCCCGCCAGCGCCCACGGGCGGCGTCTCACCGAAGATGATGAGCGGCAGCTCCAGCCAGAGGGCGGCCAGGCGGAAGAGCAGGAAGGGCGCGACGATGCCCCCGAAGTCGCACAGCCCAGAGCAGAGTGACACCCCGAAGTTCCTGCGGATAAAGCAGTTTCACATGAAAAACGCTCACGAGGAGCAAAATAGTCAGACATGTAGGTAGCTAAGAAATTGTGACAGGATTTTGCTTTTCTACGGCTCTGAACTTTGAAAACAACTGCTCTCTACACTCCAGGCAAACCCTTTCCATTTGGACCACTCCCCAGCTGGTGAGCGCGGCATGCGGGGGGTGAGGGGGGGCCTTAGGGGCTGGGGGACAGCATCCTCCGCCAGCAGCCCCCCACCGCCCGCCACCCACTGGACAGCGAGCTGTGCCGGGCACACCCCCGGGGAAGGAGCCATCCGCACGAGCGCCTGCACACGTGGCTCCTCCCGCAGCCGCTGGCTGCTCCCGACACGAGACGTGGAATGGGGTCAGAAGGGAGGCGGCAGCCTTTAAACAGGTGAGGCTGGTGACGGCAGAGCAACCCCCATCGAAGCACGTGTGCTAACCAGGTTTTCCGATTCCAGCCTAGTGCCTTTCCACGAACCGCGGCTGCGTGTGAAGATACGGGGTGAGAAATACTACCACAAAACATGGTGGAAGGCAAAGCAGAAAGCAGCTCCAGCTCGGAGCGGCCACGCTGACGGCTGAGGGAGGCCACGTGCATACAGCATCGAGCTAAGGGAACGATTTCATGGCTTTGAAGTCGCTTCCAAGCACTCGGCCGCAGAGCGACTCAGGAGAAGCCAGGACAGGTGCTGGGGTTACCGTAGCGTCGTCGGGTACAGCTCCGAGTTGACCAGGTAGACGATCTCGAAGGCCATGGTGATGCCCAGTCTCCCCAGCGTGGCCACCGTGGTCCTCAGCCAGGGTGTTCCTGGGGACACAGGGCCGGGAGGCAGGGTGAGGGCCGGGCTCTCAGGGCAGGTTTACAAACCACGGGAGGCATTCGCTTACTGTCCTCGCAGCCCCGAGCCTTTGCTAATTCTCAGCACAGGTGATCGACACCTTCTAGCGCTGTGGCCGAATTTCAACAGCGATCACCACCCCCAGGACGTGGGCTGCTCTTTCAGTGCCGCCTGCCTTTCTGGGAACACGGTGCGAGAGTCACTTGTTGAGCGGCCACTACGCTGAGAACGATGCTCCGAGCGGCATCTGCCTGGGAGGACCCCGCACTCGGCCTCTGGTCCGGAGGCGGCCCTCACGTGCGCCTGGAAAACCAGCTGCGCCCTTTTCTGCTCAGACCCCTCGGCGATGACAACAGGCCGGTGACCCCGCACCAGATGCCCCTGGTTCCGGGAGACCAGCAAGGCCGCGAGGGCTGGGCTGGATCTTGGGAAAGGGGCGTCTACACAGTGCCGCGCTGGGTCACTGGGTTTATCACCCATTGTCTTCCTCATCCCCAGTCTGGCTACTTTCCCCGAGAAATTATCCAGAGGAGCCAGCTTCCCAAGTACTAGCTGGTTCGTTCACTGACAAACACAGCGCACGATTCTAGCCGGTTTGGCTCAGTGGATAGGGCGTCGGCCCGTAGACTGAAGGGTCCTGGGTTCGCTTCTGGTCAGGGGCACGGGCCCGGGTTGCGGGCTCCATCCACAGTGGGGGGCGTGCAGGAGGCAGCCGATCAATGTTTCCCTCTCATCATTGATGTTTCTATCTCTCCCTCTCCCTTCTTTTCTGAAATCAATAAAAACATATTTTTTTTTAATATATTTTATTGATTTTTTACAGAGAGGAAGGGAGAGAGATAGAGAGTTAGAAACATCGATGAGAGAGAAGCATCGATCAGCTGCCTCGTGCACACCTCCTACTGGAGATATGCCCGCAACCCAGGTACATGCCCTTGACTGGAATCGAACCTGGGACCTTTCAGTCCGCAGGCCGACGCTCTATCCACTGAGCCAAACCGGTTTCGGCAAAACATATTTTTTTTTAAAAAAGCTAACCCCACTAAATAAAGCAGCTGTCTAGAGGCACGCAGAGGAAAGGATGGCCAGGAGCCCAGGCCATGGCCGGGCGGCCGGGTGCACTGGGTGTAGATGGCGCCCTGGCCGGGCGGCCGGGTGCACTGGGTGCTTCCCCGGGCGGCGTCACCTGGAGCTCTCGCACCGAGGCCCTCAGCGTCCTGCTGGCGTGCTGGCCGCTCTGCTCCGGCCAGAGCAGCTGGGAACATGCGTTTTATTCAGGCTCTGCCTTTCCACGAGAGCCCGGGGGCCTGGGAAGGGCATTCCGCCCCTTCCCTCGCTGAGCGGGTGGGGCGCAGCCAGGTCCCGGGAACGGAATGTGGGAGCCGCTGCCCAGACTCCCTGGGCTCCCGCCCGGCCGGGCAGCCACCCACTGCTCTCGGGCTGCAGAGAAGAATGTGCCCGCGGACGTGGAAATAACCCGATTATCCGAGTTAGGCTCTTAACTATAGGCGTTTTCTACTGAATCAAGATCGCGCTATAAATGAGTTCCATTGACAACTTCAATGCAAATTAGGTTTACAACTGAGGCTGGGACCGTTGGCTGGAAAGATTCAGACAACATCAAATTAAAGCGCGTGCATGCATGCCCATGCACACACGCGCGCGCACACACACACACACACACAACACACACCGTGAAAAACATCTAGTCAGTTCAGAAAATCATTCAGAAAACGCTGTAAAGTTGACGCCCTTGAGGAGACATGGTTGACCTTAATCTGAAAGACCCTCAACTCATTCCAAGCGCAGAGGCCAGCATTTAGCGGCCCCTACACAGGGACGGAGATGTTGAAATGCGTTACGGAAGTCCCAGAGGCACTATGCTGTTGGTCAACTAAAGAATAAAATGAAAACAATGAACTAGGAAGTGTAATTGGTGTGTGAATATTATACAAATCTCGTGATCATCCCAGTAATGTGCTAAGCTCATGGTGAAGTGGCTATAGATATCTTTTGATAACAATGACCAAAGAACCACAAGACAATTTAAAAATGAGCACTGAAGCAGAAACTACCGTCCATAGAGTCAGGGGAACCCAGGGAAAGGGTCCCTCTGGATGTGGATTTATTTGGTCAAACTTCTAGAGATTACTGGGAATGTATCAATTTTTGAACAAAAAAAAAAGCAGGAGGATCTTAAATAAACACAATTTTGCATCTCCTCTGAATGTACCATCTGTGCCGAGTTTTGAAATAAAATGTAGTGAAAATGCCTAATATGTGAATTAAGATATATGAGCCCACTTTTCACTGAAAGAGAAACAGAAGTAAAAGACAGACTCGAAGTGCTGGGCTTGTGGCCATCCTAAATAAACTCAAATGCAAGAGATGAGGGCGGACAGAGAAAGCTCTTTATTTTTCAGAGATTTGGGCCTAAAGCAGCGAGACTCAGAGGAGATATGTACAGCCAGAAAGACCAGTTCTTTGTCCAGTTTCATGCTGCAGACCCTGACTGGTGTACGCAGTGGAGGGAAAGCTGGCGAAGCTGTTTTCTGTGGGATCCTCTTAGCGCTGGTTCCTCTAAAAGGCTGGCCAGCATCTCCCGGGGCCACCATCCTGCTGGTAACTCGAGAGTGACTGAGGGACAGTCCTGCTAAGGCAGCAGTTCTCAACCTGTGGGTCGCGACCCCTTTGGGGGTCGAACGACCCTTTCACAGGGGTCGCCTAAGACCATCCTGCATATCAGATATTTACATGACGATTCATCACAGTAGCAACATGACAGTGATGAAGTAGCCACGAAAATACTTTTATGGTTGGGTCACAACATGAGGAACTGTATTTAAAGGGCTAGAAGGTTGAGAACCACTATTCTAAGGGGACGGAAAAGCCCAGTCACCAAGTCCAATAGCTCTGTGCGTGGACATGGGGACTGTCCCCTCCTGGGAGGAACACGAGTACCTGGTGCTCACGTGGAGCATTAGGGACCTGAAACTTATTCTTGTCCACCCTGACCAGCGTGTGACCACACAACAGCCGGATCTGCGGAACATGGACGTAAAATGTCTCAAATAGCAGCCGTTAGTTTCCGACGTCGCTAAGAGCAACCCTACCGCTTAAAATGGGAAGTTATGTCTCCAAACTAACACAGATCAGACTGAACAAACAGGACGACTCTTCGTCTCACATTTTCCCATAGAGGAACGTGTGCTCTACACAATGGCTGAGCCCACCCCCGGGTGACGTGGGCGCTGGTTTGGACTCGTCCTCGCCTGCTCTCTGGGTCGTGCGTGCCGAGGGCTGCGCCTGGAAACCATCCCAGGCAGCCCCGGGCCGGGGAGCTCTTCCCGGGCAAAGTGTGCATCCCGGGCTGATGGGCCTCGCTCCATCCATCCTCCTCCCTAACTTCACACGAAGCGAACACTTAATTCCGATTCCATGGGCGATGGGAATGGCAGGCTCGTCTTAGGAAACTCCATTCTTAAATTAAACCCAAAACCCTGCAGGGCCAAACTCAAAACAGAATGAAAGGAGGAGTTTCCGACATTCCTGATTCGTCCCCCTTCCACGCCACCCGCACTTGCCCCCCGAGGCCAGGAACCACGTCTATCTGGTTCCCGGTTCTCGTTTAGCGACGACAATGGATACTAAATAGACACGTTTTGGCCGATAGCTCATACAGACGCCCACCTCTTAGAAAGAGGCCCAACTCAGTGCAGTGGGGTGAATAGTGTCCCCTGAAATTCCTGTCCGCCCCAAACCTCAGAATGGGACCTTGTTTGGAAACAGGGCCTTTGCAGATGCAACAGTTAAGACAGACACCGAGAGAAGGCCGTGTGAAGATGGAGGCAGAGACGGGCCGATGTCAGGCGACGCTGGCCAGCGCCTGAGCGGGGAGAGAGGCAGGGACCAGGCTCCCTGGGAACCTCCAGTGGAAGGGACCGCCTGCAGCACCAGAGCTGGAGGAGGTGGGAGGGCCCTCACCTGGAGCCTCGGGAGCCTGCCCCCCCCACTCTCCCTCCAGGCTCCAGGACGTGAGAACCCATGTCTGCTGTTTCAAGCGGCCTGGTTGTGGGAGTTACTGCAACCCTGGGAACTCATGCGCTCAGGGAGGGTGAGGGAAATGCGCCAGGCACTCCTGTGGATCGCCGGCCAGCCCAGTACGACGCAGGACTTCACATCTCTTCGTCCTTCTGCTCTGAACGAGGCGGCTCCGTAACTACTTAGGTAGCGCCTGTCTGCTGACTGGGGACTGCGTGCACCTCCACGCAATTACTAACCTCCTCGGTATTGTCCAGTCTCTCCCGGTCCTCAGGGACACGGAGGACTGCCCGAGAGTCCAGCTCCGTCACCCACACCCGCACCCCCAAACACAGACATGACAGGCTTGCTCACACTCCCGAGTGTGACGGCTCCTCTGTCCAGCGCCTGAGGGCTCCAGGCAGAGGTCACCTGGGCGTGTGGAGACACCTGCAACCTCTATACCCGTCATCAACTCCCGGAAGGTTTAACCCTGAACTGCCTCTGAGGTCATCTCTCCACCCAGGCCCGACTGCCACCCCCTTAATCCGTGCTCACATCTCCCTCATGTCGTTGTCCAAACTGTTGCAGCTACAGGAGGCCACCCCTCTTGTCCCTCCTCCCCCCAAAGCCCACAGGACCAGACACAGGCTTGTCAGACAAAGGTGATCGAAGGTAAACTACAGCCCTGGCCGGTGTGCTTAGTGGTTACAGCACCGGCCTTCACACCAAAGGGTCACAGGTTTGATTCCCAGTCAAGGGCATCTGGTTGGGGTGTGTGTGGAAGGCAACCAATCAATGTGTCTCACATCAATGGCTCTCGCTCTCCCCCCTGCTCCCTCCCTCCCTTCTACTCTCTTTAAAAATCAACAAGAAAAATATCCTCAGGTGAGGATTAACCAAAAGAAAAAAAAAAAAAAGTAACTGAGAAGAAAAAAGTGACTAAGCAGAAAGTCAGTGACATCACTGAAGTGCACCCGGGACCAAGACTCCGATGCGGTGGACAAGAGCGTCTCTACTCCGGATGATTTCTGACTTAAGATCGTTTTCACGTCCTTGGCTGCCAGACGGACTTGGAGACACTTACCTTCTGGTAAGAACGCCGTGACCAGGCACGCCACTCCGGCCAGGATGTTGCTTGCTGCGAAGGGGAGACGGCGTCCGAGACGCTCGATGGTCAGGAGGATGAGGAGGGCGGCCGGCAGCTCCACGACTCCGGAGATGAAGAAGTTCATGTAGAGGTTGCCGCCCACGATGCCCAGGCGCATGACCAGCCCTTGGTACACCAACGCACTGGTGAACCTGCGGACATCGGACCGACGGCCGGGGAGAGAGCGGGTGAGGGCGACTCCCACCCGACGGAGGGAGGGGTGCGTGTGAATTTGACACAGGCTTTGAATCCATCACAACTCAAACTTACCAAGCAAACATAAGAATAAGGGTGCACTTCCTCATTTGGGGAGTTCTCACCAGATCTAAAAAGGACGGATTACTAACTTCCTCATCGGTGACGGTGATCTGCACAAGAGAAGCAGAGTTCAGTGGCAACAGACAGCAAGACACCCCTGCATATCACAGACCTGTCATTGACCAGGGTCACAGCTACCCACCGATGAGCTCCCGGGATGACCCGGCCTGGCACTATCACATCCTAAACCCGAGGCCCTCTAGGTAAACTCACAGAGACATGGCTGCTATGCTGAGAATTCAATCTTAGCTGATATCAGCAGTGCTGTAAGCTAAGATGCTTTGAGCAGTGGTGCCCGTGAGTCAAATACAGTAGTGCATTTATTAACATTAATTGGAGAAAATGAGCATAAAAGTGGTCAAAGCAGGTGGAAACCAAACAAGCGATTCTTCATCTGTTAAAGCCTAACACTTTATGTTGAAAAGTAAGACAGAGTAACGTCAAGTTCAAGGGTGAGCGTGGCACCACAGGTGCCATTTTGTTTCTGTCTGTCTAGCATCTTTCTGATCCAGAACAATTCAGCTCATCCCTTATTTGGCCACCCAAGAAGTTGGTCTTTTCTTTAATCCAGTGAAACCAAGATTGCTGTTTGACTCTGATGAGTACGGTGCGTAAAGCAAAGCCCAACAGCAAAGCCTCCAGAACCGCAGCTGCTTCTGAAGAAGCCATCGCCCAACCCTTCCCCCTTGCCACCCAGTGACCCGGTTTCACATGTCCACGAGCTTGCACATTCTGCAACCTCTGCTCTGAGCGCCCTTAGACCTCCCGGTCCCAATGTCCCCTCCACGGGGAGGCCTGTCCTAGCCTCAGGAAGGACCAAGGACTCCAACCTGTGCCCTACTCACCAGACCTCTGACCTTGTACCTACCACCACATGCTCTGCTGGTCCAGGTCTCTCTCTCCCTCCATGAGCCCAGCGCCCTGTGTTCAACCATGTTCGGGTAATGACTGAGTGTTGAAACAACAGGACGAGTGTCCTGGCCATGGCTGGACCCTACTGTCTGTTCAACTCAACTCCAGCTCTGGCCCAGATTGAGTGGAAATCAGGGCAAATCTCCCCCCAGTCTTTGAGCCCAAAGTCCCTCTACCAGCAGTCGCGGGAATTTGAGTGAATTCACACTGAGAGTAAGTGGTCTGTTCTAAATATCATGCTCAACGAACGGTCAACCAAAGGTTAATACCTCCTGCCTGTGCTTGCTCCAGGGAAAGGCAAACACACACGAAAGAAGCCCGCAAACAAATGCCTTCAGATCACATTGCTTTCCCAAGTCTTTGTAAATGTTGTACTTGTCCTATACCGAGACACACACTTTTCACATCTTAACATCTCTTAAGTTGGGTCGTGTCCTCAACTGAGCTGATAAGAAAGCAATGTGTTATCGCTTAAATAGCACGTTTTTTCTTATTTATATAACTAGAGGCCTGGTGCACAAATTCACGCACCGGTGGGGTCCCTCGGCCTGGCCTGCGGGATCTGGCCAAAACCGGCTCTCCGACATCCCCCAAGGGATCCTGGATTGTGAGAGGGCACAGGCCAGGCCGAGGGACCCCACTGATGCATGATCAGGGCCATGGAGGGAAGCGGGAGGTTGGCCAGCCGGGGAGCGGCCGCGGGAGGGACCCAGGGCATTTCCGGCCCATCGCACTCAGTCCCCATCGGCCGGACCCCAGCAGCAAGCTAACCTACCTGTTGGAGCGTCTGCCCCCTGGTGGTCAGTGCACATCATAGTGAGCAGTTAAGCGGCCTTAGCATATCATTAGCATATTACACTTTGATTGGTTGAACGGCCGACAGGTCAACCAGACACTTAGCATATTAGGCTTTTATTAGATAGGATGATGACATGTCTTAAAATCAAGAGTGTCTTAGAGTCAATGAAACAGTAACAGCTTCCATGACCTGTCGGGAAAGACTGCCAGTTGACTCTACCATCCATCCTTCTCTTCTCTCTTTTGAAAACAGAAGCCCCTGGATTTTAGCTGGGCACAGGGCTGCCCACCTGCTAGCCTCTCCTTCACTGGGGGTGGCCCTGTGACCAGGATCTCAGCACTGAAGTGGAAGCCACGGGCACAAGTTCTGGGTCCCATGCTTTAAAAAGGAAAGGGCTTGCCCCTCACTCTCTGTCTTCCCCTTCCTGAGGGATGGAAGAAGAAGATGCTGGTGGGCCCACTTCAGCCATGGACCCTATCACAGGTGCTGGTGAAACAAGACAAATGGACCCTGGGTCCCCGGAAGGTCTCACCGAACACGGCCGCCCTCCAGAGCTGGGCTCCTCGCTCTGGGAGCGCACGTTCGAGAGAAAGACACTTTTCTCTCTTTTGTCACTATGTTTTCTGGGTCTCTGTTTCAGCTGCAAGGTGACCTGTACCTTACCTGACACAGTGCCTACTAAGATGCTCAGGGAATTAGTGAGGACGTGGAGGGCTCAGCTACATCTTAGCAGCCACCCTCCACCCAGGAGAGAACCAGTATAACGACGAAGACGCCTGTCAGCAGAGTCGCGAGGAGAAAACCATGGCTTGAGATAGTTAAGACCGTGTCTGGCCGACGCAGAGCCCTCCTGTAACACGAGAGTTCTGGATACATGACCAGGAAATGTGCTTATTGTCAAAGTCTGATTCAGTTGGTTTTCTGACACATGTTGTCAAAAGCAGAACTACCTGGAGAACTTAGTCCAGAACAATGCTTTAATCACCAAATACGTTAGGCAAAATAATTTTGTATTGGATAAAATAATTGCTTCGGGATTCTCGTTCATTCCGTAAAAATATTTGGGATTGGCCTTCATTTCAAACTTTGGAGATTTAAGAGCACGCAGTCACATGGTCGCTGCTCTTCCCTTGAAGCACAGGTCGGATGCCTAAGGTATATCCTCCCCCAAGAGAATGTGAAGAGCTGATGAACCTGAAGGTCACCGAGACCATAAAACCAGGCTTGCCTGTGCGGTGAACACGAGGATTAACAGTCCTGCCAAGCAAGGGAGAACTTGGCCAGTTGATGAACAAATCCAGCTGGTCTTCGATTCACCAGCATGTTCTCCGCAGTGACGCACACACCCTGAAACACGACCCACTTTCTGGGCGTCCCAGGACCTCGGGAGCCAAAAGCTGCGTCTCGCGTGGCATCCGGCCAGGAACAACTTGGCAGCTCCAGTGCCGGCGGCCGTGGCTGGGAACCCCTCGCCACTTCCAGCTCGACATTCTGAGTGGAACTGTGCTTCTTTTCTGTCGCCAAAGGGTTGGCGAATTTCACCTAGTCTAAGTCACACACAAAAAATAGAAATGCTACCTCGAGTTATTAGATGTCCTTTTAAGTCCACTTTATCGCGACACAGTTTACATGCAATAGAATTCAGCAATTGTAAGTGTTCACTTGAATGAGTTAGGCAAATGTTAGAGTTGTGAAACCCCCCGCCAGCCTCATGACATGGACCATTTCCAGAACCCTAAAAAGTCTCCACTGGCTCTTTGCGGGCGACCCCTCCTCTGCTTTCTGTCATGGCAGCCTGGCTTTTCTAGAATGCCACACAAAGGCAGCCATACAGTACGCGATGCCTTGGCTCCGGGCCTGGCATTGCATTTCGTCACACATTTACGCCACCTGAGTGGTGCGTGCCCACTTTAATTTGGAGCAAAGGGGGATGGGGAATGCTCTCGGTAGTATTTGTGTGTTTGGAGGCTGGCTGCCTAGCAACGCCCCTCGCACAACAAGGCCTTGCCCCGGGCTCCACGGCACACGCTGGTTCCCTTTTACTGATTCACGGAGCTGATTTCTGTTTGCTCTGCCCGTCTCTTCACGGTTTTGATTCTGCCAAGACTTTTGTCTTATGTCAACAGCGATGTTCCCCATGCTAAACGAGCACTTCACTCGTCTCCCCTTGATTAATGCCGCTGTTTACAAGTCTTCCCAGCGCCGTTCTGAGACATTTCTCCACGCTGACATTTTAATTTAAGTTGCCAAGGAGGAGAAAGATGTGATAAACGGCGATCTGGCACCGCGATGGTGCTCCTGAGGGGGGCAGGTTTCTGGTGACAAAAGACAACCCACTGAGGTCAGGCCAGAGACATGCTGTTTCACTCAGAACATTTCTTTTCTTCTTTTTTTTTTTTTTAACTTTAAAAAATATTTCATTGAATTTATTGGGGTGACATTGGTTAATAAAGTTATATAGCCTTCAAGTATACGATTCTACGGTACATCATCTGTGTATTGTATTGTGTGTTCACTCCCTAAGCCCGAAGTCAAGTCTCCTCCCATCACCGCTTACCCTCTCTGTATGCTCTCCTGCCTGCCCCACCCCCTTTCCGCTGGGAATCGCCACATTGCTGTCTGTGTCTTTGAGTTTGGGGGTTCTTTTGGTTAATCCCCTCACCTTCTCCACCCCGCCTCCCCGCCCCCCGCGACAGCTGTCAGTCTGTTCTCTGTGTCTGGGAGTCCGTTTCTTACCTCTGTGAGCCTCCGTTCACCCCCTGCAGTAGACTTTGGGCGATTACCAGATGCTAAGAGGGAAGGATGGGCGGGCAGCGCGGGCGGGCGGGGAGAGGACGGGCAGGGGCTGCACAGCGGCCTCGCAGCTTCCTCGGGTTGTTCTCAACACGCGGGTTTCCCGTCCGTCCCACGTTTCCCAGGAGAAGGTGAAGGCTGCTGAGGGGCCGAGTCTGTTCTCGGTCTCACTGGGTGGTCTAGCTCGTTCCCCGCTTCCCCCGCAGCCTCTGCTCCCTAGAAGTTTTGCATCTCTGAGCATGCTGAGGAAATAACATGTCACTCAGGACTCGGGGCCCACGGGCTTGGAGGAGCAGAGCTCCCTGAGGTCAGACGACCAGGGTCTTTCACGCACGCGTGGGGGGTGGAGACGGGCAGGGCCGGGAGTGCACGGGACTGTGGTGCACCGTGTCCCCACCTCCTCCTCCTGGTCGGCCCCTCAGTCAGGCAGGAGCCAGCACCTGCGGGCTCAGCAGCGGGCACTGGGCACCGCCGCGCCCTGGCCTGCTTCTGGGTGGCAATAGTGCCACCTGTCACCCAGAAAAGAGAATTCGCCAAGTTACTCAT